TCTCAGGCATTCATCATGCATGGTAACTACCATAGCCTGGCTTGGGATGAAACAGACTCAATGCACCTTGTTCTGTTACCTTTAGTCAATGGTGGTTGACTAAAAGCATGGTGTGCCGGTAAATGCCTAGTCAGCATTCAGGGGGAAAAGTCCGGATTTGTAGCATTTGCTGATTTGCAGAGTGTAAATACTTTCATCGTGGCTAATTTCAAGCAATCAGTGTGTTGTCAGTGAGCATGGAGTTGGAAAGAGATGCTCAGTAGCATGCCATTACATATTACATCCATTATATAGAGACTGTAGATGTAAAAATCCTCAAGAGCATAGATAACAGTAAAATAATTGGAAGTGATGAATTCCAAGTTTATATAGTTTAATTTTTAATAATGGCTGGGTTGAACAAGCAGCTTGCAGAGTTCCTGAGGACTTAACAATCAGCTCTCACAAACAAGAGCAAGCTGGCTCCAGCATATCACTGCCTACAGGGCCCCCTGAGGAGAAAGGTCCAGGGAGGCAGGTGGGAGGGTAGTCACAGCATTGATCTTGAACCAAAAAGGCTTCAGACAGTGGATGGAGCTTGGTTCCACTGGAGATCTCCTCCCACATCCTGGCTCACAGGACCTGACTCTGCCCGTCCATTTTAAGATCGAGGTCCACAGTGTCATCTCCACAGAACACAAAGCTTCTGATGCCCGAGGCAGCATGGTCTCCCAGTGGACATTGGGCCATACTTCTTCTGCCTCTTTAGAGAAACCAAAAGATCCTTGCCGGGTTGGGACTGCACTTCTCCGCCTGATAGTTTGCTCTGATGTTTGCACACTCTGAAAGTGTGAAACACAGTGAGAGAGAAAGCATGTGGGGGAAAAGGTTACCCCAGCTTCTGCACAAGCACTAGCTTAGGTGATCTGAGGTAAAACTAGCACCTTGAAACCACAGAATTAAATATCAAAGACCCGATTAAATTGGATGGATACGGTTTGGTCATTAATAGTCCTTAGTTGGGTCTGTATGAATCATTCTCAGTAGTTATTTTGTCTCTTTGTGTAAAGACATAGTTTTTCAGAATGGTGCTGCTGGGCCCAAATGCTTCCTGACCCTTCCTTTTGTCAGTAGCCTCGAATTAAGGCCCAATGAATATGTGAAATATGAGAATATGTGAAAGCAAGTCCTTAAAGGATGATGCAGAAACCTAAATATTAAAAAAATAATAATAATATAAAATAAATAAAATGAAAACCCTTTCAATGTAGTACCTCAGAATCTCATTTTTAGGGCCAGTTCTCGCCTTCAGAAACTAAAGTCCATATCTCTCCAAATTCACCTCATTCTTCATCAGATGTATGTTACCATCACATAGATAAGTAGTCACCACCTGGACTTCACCCTGGAATCATTTGAGGAGCTTTTAAAAAGTCCTTATTGTGCCCCACTCCATAAGATTGATTTATCTGGCTGAGTGAACCCCTGGCATCAGGATTTTTTTTATAATTGATATAACTCACGTACCATAAAAATAACCCTTTAAAAAATATACAATTCAGTGGTTTTTAGCATCTTCACAAAGTTGTATGACCGTCACCACTATCTAATTTCAGAACATTTTCATCCCCCCCAAAAGAAACCCCATAATCACTATCAGTCATACCCTTCCCCTCACCCTCCAGCCCCTAATCTGTTTTCTGTCTCTATGGACTTGCCTATTCTAGCCTTTCATATAAATGACATCATACATGTGTGGACTTTATGTCTGCCTTCTTCCCTTAGCATAATGCTTTCAAGGTTCAAACACATTGTAGCATGTAACAGTGCTTCGCCCTCTTTCATTTCCTAATGATATCCCATTGTGTTTATATACCACATTTTGTTTATCCAGTCACCAGAAGAAGGACATTTGGGCTGTTTCCACTTTGGAGATATTATCAATAATGTTGCTATGAATATTTGTGTACAAGTCTTTGCATGGATATATGTTTTCAATACTAGGTGTGGAATTGCTCAGTCAAATGGTAACTCTATGTTTAACTTCTGGAGGAAATGCCAGACTGCTGTCCAAAGTGGCTGCACCATTTTAAAATCCCGCCAGCAATGTATGTGGGTCCCAATTTCCCTACATCCATGCCCACGCTTGTTATTGTCCTTCTTTCTTACCATAACTACCCTAGTTCAAGTAAAGGGGTATCTGTGGTTTTGATTTGCATTTCCCTAATGACCAATGATCTTTTCATGTGCTTTTTTTTGTGGCAATTTGCTTACTTTTTTTGGAGAATGTCTATTTGAATCCTCTGCCCACATTTTATTGTATTATAATTTGTCTCTTCATTGTTGTAAGAGTTCTTTATATATGCTGGATACAAGTCCCTTGGTGTGGGAATGGTCTGAAAGCCTCCCAGGTGATTCTTACACACACCAATGTTGAGAACCACTGATGGAACACAAAGTCTCACACTGCTCATCTTATCTAAATAAGAGAACTTTTTATTCCAGGTTTCAAAAAAAGTAATATTATTTAAATGACTCATACTTTTTAGCAAAACATGAGAAATGAGCATACGAAAAATGACAAACCCCTAAATAAATCATCCTAGAACCAAAACTGCTAAATTCCTACTTTTTAATGCTTTTCAATTAACTGGCATAAAGTCCCTCTTTTTGAAATAGAAGTCAAATATCCACTTGAAAAAACAAACAAACATAATTTGTGATCATCTTTGCATAAAACTTGGGATTCTATCAATGAACAGAATGGGAGGGTACCCAAGGGCTCTATCCATTTAGTTATGCAAAAGACAAACATAAAAATTTGTTCAAAATCTTATTGTCAAATATAATTTCAGTCCAAGCTTATATAAACCTCTTTTTAAAGGCCTTTACAAAAAACGGCCTGTATATTTCTCTGTGATACCAGGAAAACATCTTAGCTTACATTTGAATTGCTTTCCTTTCTTCTAGTTGATTCCTAAGAATATCAACAAAAGGCTGACCTTTGTGAGGTCCCTGCACACAAGTCAGTACCAAGCCATTTGGAAGGAGGCTTCATTCCTTCAAAACAGAGTTCTCAAATGTGGTCCCTGGATCAGCAGCATCAGTATCACCCCAGAACTTGTGAAAAATGCAACTTGTTAGGCCCACCCCCAACCTACTAGATTGCAAATGCTTGGAGTCGGGCTTGTTAATCTGTGTTCTAAGCAGCCCAGAAAGTAATTCCTATGCATGTTCAAGTGTGAATACTACTGCTTTCAAGTATTTCCTCAAATCTGCCATGTGCACATACAGTGGATCCCATTTGTCACGGCCCAATCCTTTCTAACACTAGACAGCCACCCCATGCTCCCTAATGACTCTCAGGCACTAAGGGTCTCAGTTTCTTTCAGTCAGATAATTCTCCATACCACTGAGAAGACCCCACAAACATCTCTATTTTGGGATTTTCAACTCATAGGAACACCTGAAGCTCACGTGGAATGGCATGAGGTAGAATGTCATCATGTCACTTTTCAGAGAGGCCTATTTTAGCAGACTCAAAACCACTATTACCAGCCCAAAGATACCTCAGCATACTTAGTTTAAGCTTTCAGAATTAGGATCTTATTGTCAAATCCTGCCGGGGCAAATGCAGAAAAGGCACACATCACTAGCTGAAATTCTGTAAGGCAGGAGCACCCCTCAACAGAATTAGGATCTTATTGTCAAATCCTGCCAGGGCAAATGCAGAAAAGGAACACATCACTAGCTGAAATTCTGTAAGGCAGGAGCACCCCTCAGTGGGTGGGCTGAGGATGAGAGAGAGTCATGAGAATCCTGGAGCTGCTCACACAGCCATCCTGGGGGCTCTGGGTGACCCGCTCACAACTGAGGCTGGCTAGCTTGTCAGCTGTCTTCTCGGTCTCTTCAGAAAATGTGGACCTCCAGTTCTCCAGCTGCCAAACCAGAGGGTGTGTGTTCTGTCTTTTGGGCCCAACAGGTGGGCCTTCTGATTATTTTAGAAAAGCTAGAAATTCCAATGATTATATACTTTCCTAATTTTTATGTTAGCCACTAATTCAACAAAATTTAATCATATGTGAAGGTACTTCAAAAAGTTTGTGGAAAACATTGTTAAAAGATAATACAAATGTTTCCATGAATTTTTGAAGATCCCTCATATAACCCGAATTAAGTCATGAAGGAAACATTGGACAAATCCAAATTGAGAGACATTCTACAAAATAATCAACCTGTACTCTTGAAAAATGTCATCATTATGAAAGATAAAGACAAACTGGGGAGCTGTTCCCAATGAAAAGAGACTAAAGAGATGTGGCACCGGAATATAACGTATAACCTGGACTTACTTCTGCCATAAAGGACATTTTTGGGGCTTCGAGTCAAATCTCAATAAAGTCCATAAATTAGATAATACCATTGTAGGAATCGTAATTGCTTGACTTTGATCACTGTACTATAGTTAATTAAGAAAATGTCTTATTTTTAGGAAATATGCACTGAAGCATCTAGGGGTGAAGGGACATTACGTCTGCAACTTACTCTCAAGTAGTTCAGAAAAGACGTATATGTTGGTAAATTAGGGCGAGTGAAAAAGAGGTAAATAAAGCAAATGGGGTAAAATGTTAACATTTAGGGAATCTGGGTATTTATAAATTTTCTATAAGTATGAAATTATGTCAGAACAAAAAGTTAAAATTAATCACTTTCTAAGTCAAACAAAATAATCTGCCAGCAGAACGCTGGTTTGTGACCACTGACCTTTAAGATCTCAGGACTCTCAGAGATCCCCCCTACATACCCCTGGAGGATGTTTTCCCAGCAAACCCTACCACTAGGGACATGGCCAAGAACCTACAGCAGCCTGGGTGTCTGGAAGGACCTCCCAGAAGGAAACCTAAAGCAATAGCACTAGGAGGCAGGGGGTGAGCAATGCCACAGCTCAGAAGCTGGCCTGGCATGCCACCTGGAAGGGCACAGGAAGTGAGAAGGACAGCAGCCCTGGGGGGGCTCAGCAAAACAAGGAGCAATGTCACTCATTTATCTCACTCGCTCAGAAAGCACATCCCTGGGTGGATTAGACACCAACCTCACACACGACAGCATGATTCTCTTCGTCTTGGGCCTCTATCAGTTCGGCCAGGAAGTATTCTCCATAAGTTTGCTTCAGAAGTGTGTCATGGTGCATAAATACTGGCATGAGATCATCATGATCTTCCACCCTGTTTAACGGAAAGGCTTGAGTTCAATGTTCATTCATTCATTTGTTCCTTCAACGAAGCACCTACTACAAGGAGGTACAAGACGCTGTTCTAAGAGCCAGGGACACAGCAAAAATCTCACAAACTGAACTCACATTCTAATAAGAGAAACAGGCAATAAAAATGTAACAAATCTAAAGAACTTCCACACATCAAATAGTAATAAGTGCTTTAGAATGGAAAGTGACAGGGTCTAGTAGTCAGGGAAGTCCTCTGTGAGGAGGGACATCTGAGCTGAGACCTGAATGAACAAAGAGAAGAAGAGGAACCTATGTCAAGATCTGGAGGTAGAACTTTCTGGGCAGAGGGAACACAGTCCGCATGTTCGGGTGTAGAATGTAGGGCAGCATTTGTCATAGGTCAAAATACAGGAAGCTAGGGACAGCGTTTCCCAAGTGTGTTCCAAGAACACTACTTCTGTGATATTGTCTCCAGCACTCCCTCCTGGAATATCACAGTTATGTATTAAAGACTCGAGAAGCACCACAACAAGGAATATTTAATCTTGTTTATGCATTTCTCAAATGCTGGCCCATGGTACACGTTACTCCTGAGCTATCGCCGCACTTCCCATGGAGGGAGAAATGCTGGTGAAGGCAAGGAAGCTCTGCTCACCATGCTGGGGAAATCCTCCTTGACTGACATTCTCAGGATGCTTGACAGTGACCTTGACAGTGACCTTGAGAACTAGTCGGGGGGAGCGGGGAGAAGAACCAGGTTTACTGCAGCATGGCAATGCTGGCTCTTGGACTCCATTTTGCTGCCATATTTAACATTCCTTTCTTCTCTTCAGTACATGCTTGGGTAAATTTAGCATTCTACTTTACCTGTCTGGGATGTTCTCATACTTTTTTCCTGCTTCTTTTCCTATAAAAATGTTCTAGGTTTTTTTTCCTAGTATACCTGACTTGGCTACTAACCTTTATTTCCTCCCCATTTATTTCATTACTTTGCCATCTCATCATCCCATTTTATCTTCTAGTATGTTCTTTGACGTTAGTAATAGCTCCATCTATCTAGTGATCAGTACTACTCCATCTACTGAGTGACCAGATTGTCTCTGTTTCTGTGCCTCTCACGGCAATCCCGGGACGTTGGCACTGCCATCTTCACTTCACAGATGGACAAGAGCCAGGCTCATGGGGATGACAAAATGCTTTGCTGAAGATGACAGAAACAGCTGACAGTGGAAGCATGATATGAGCTCAGGTCTGCTGATTTAAGCCCTGACAATACACTTTTTAAAACTTCCTTTATTTTCACTCCTTTTGAAAACTGGTAGCAAGAAGCAAACAGTTGAGAGGGGAGTCCTTGGCTCAGGGATCACAGATCATCATCCAGCCAGCTCTGTCACAACTCCAGCCCTGCGGGAACATCCCCCAAGCCTGCCATGGCCCCTGCTATAGTTTGGATGTTGGTCTCCTCCAAAACTCATGCTGAAATTTGACCCCCCATGTGGCACTGTTGGGAGGTAGGGCCTAGCAGGTGGTGTTTGGGTCATGGGGGCAGATTCCTCATGAGTAGATTAATGCCCTTCCTCGGGGGTGAGTGAGTTCTCCCCCATTAGCTCTCTCCAGCACTGGTTGTTAAAGAGAGCCTGGCACCTCCACTGCGTCTCTTTTGCTTCCTCTCTCTCGCTGTGATCTCTTTCCACAAGCCTGCTCCCCTTCCATTTTCCACCATGAGTGGAAGTAGCCTGAGGCCCTTGCCAGACGCAACTGCCCAATCTTGGACTTTCCAGCCTACAGAGTGGTGAGCCAAATAAACCTCTTTATAAATTACCCAGTATCAGGTACTCAGAAACACAAAACAGACTGAGACAGGCTCATTCCCTAAATCTAAATGCTTTAAACTGGATGACCTCATGCACCCTGGATGAAAATGTCCACCCTGCTCCCAGGATGAAACCTTTACCTCTCGTGACACAGACTCAACTGTTGGAATGATAATGCTTTTCATCAAAACCAGTAAGTATCTTGATGGAAGAAACACATATTGGAAAAACCGTGTCTGTGCTCTACAAAACCTAAGTGCCAAAAATAAGAGGCTGCACCAAAATTTTACAATAGACATAATTATTTTAAATAATGGTAAAATAATTCAATATCCTAATCATTTTAAATGAATCGAGACAGCAATTACACAGGGAACTCCAAAATTAACTGTGTACCATGAGCTTTTATTTATATGATGAACATAAAAATATTAATCAATGGAAATAAAAATCATAAATAAAGGTTCAGAGAGACTCAAGACACTAAGCCTAATCATGAGCCCTCAGCAGCGCATTAACAAAGTTAGCCATAATCATACCCTAATACTAATTCTTTTGGGAAAAATAAGAAGAAAACATCTAAATCCTGGAGTTCTGAAGAGTCTCTACCTTAAGCCCATCCCCAAAATAGATAAAGAGGAACACGTTCTGCTAAATGCATTCCTTAGGGTAATCAGTAATTTATGATCTTGCATCAGCCCAAGTGATAATGATAATGTATGACATCAGCCTCACATAGTCTCAAATGGCATATGACAAAGTCTGGCCCCACAGAAACAAAACACCCCAGCCACGGAAAACAATTTATGCAATAAAACATTTAAAGGTGAGCGCTGTGAGGCAGTGAGTGAGAATGGAGGGGAGGAGAGCCAGAGCCACGTCCCCCTGTGAGCTTGGCAGTGCAAGGCCACCTGCCTGGCACTGACCTACCATACTGCGTTTCAACAATGATGACTGTGCAAGGGTTATAGGTCATCAACACAAAGTACAATGGAAATAACAACTCTCTGAGTGAAAAGCAACATTCCTTCATATCTTCCATTAAGGATGTGGCTTGAAGGGGGCAACCATGTGCTTCTTAATGTAATCAAGTATAGAATACTTTAGTTTAACCTGCTTGGAGTAAACAAAGGTCCATCCCATAAAGACTTATTGATCTCTCAAGCACCCAAATGTCCATCAGACTCTGAAAACCATGCCAGATGAAAAGGGAGTAGAATCCAAACCTGAAGAAAATCAACAGTCTCTCAAGGACCCCTCACATGGGGAATGGGTCACTTCTAAACACAGGAGGAGGCAGAGCTAAGATGGCAGGGACCTGGTGGCTCTTCCTGGCTTCTTGAAAGGTAGGGAGAAGAAAGAACAAACTCATTCATCATTCCCACTATGTCAGTTACCTGGACTCCACAGAAGTCTTCCTAGCAGCCCGGCAGATCCTAAGATTGCTCCATCACTCAGCTTGCTGACTGCTCTACTACGTACTTACAATCCCAGAGGAAAATCTACAGGCCGGATTCTCTCGAGCCAGAGAGGTGTGCATCATTTCCTTGCCAGCAAAGGTAACCACTGCAAATTCACAGATGGAAAGTTCATACTTAAGGACTGTAAGGACAGCAGCAGTAGCAGCAGCAGCAGGCCACTGTCACATTCAGAATATTGGCACAGATTCCTCTCTCCTGTGTGGTGATTTCTGACATCCAGAGGATCTGCATTTCATTAGCCAGATTTAAAAAATATACTGTTGAAAAAGTATTTCTGTTGTGACTTTAAATCCATAAATATATTTTTCAAGTGTGTGTGTGTGTGTGTGCACATATCTTAAAAAACGAACGAAAAGAAAAAAAAAATTCATAGAGTATCCAATTTAGTGGTAGTGCTAAAGAATGCAGCATGTTTTGGTTAAACAAACCTTTTACCCTGAACAGTTTCAACGTGGGTAGGAGAACCTATAGTTGGCACCAACTAGACTTCTGTTTTTATTCAGATGTGTAAAACAAAGCACCTTTTTCCTTTCCGAGATTTCTTGTGATCTCTTGTTACCTCTAGTGGTCTTCCTTAAGAAAACTGAATCCATTATTTTTAAACTATACATTCCATTTTAGAACTTTAAAATGGGCTTTGGAGCCATTTAGCTGCTACTCCTTGGAAAATGTCATGATTTTAAAGTTATGAAGGGTTTTAAATCCAAATTTTCAATGTGCTTTGAATGACTTCAAAGCACATCCAGGCCAGTTAGAGGCTCCCATCCTTTATACCACCAGGATCTGACCCAAAAGTCTATCTTGGCACACCACTGCTCCATGTGGATTGTTAACCAAACTCTACCTGCTGGTTCACTTACCAAGACTCAAGAAGATCAAGAAATTCTGTAATTGCTCTATGTCTTCTTTTTGAATGCTTTAGGATATTCATAACTTAAACATTGGAATGTTCATTCATATGAAACTGCTCAGAAGTCAAATTTAAGTGGACTTCTAGAAAGCACAAGACTATCAAATGCTTCATAAAAATAATTGCCTTGAGAGGTGAAAAGTTAGTATTTAAAAAACACTAATCTATGTTTTGAAGAACTAACTTTTCTTTCATCTATTTTAAAAAGCAATGTTGAGCCAATTTGGTTAACTATGTTAGCACAAAAGCAGTTCTCCTTTAAGGAAAAGTTTAGTTGTTTTACAACACTAACAGCTAATCCTTTCCTTGCCTGAGTCTTCACTCCTCCCGAGAGGACTTGAAAAAGACAGGTTTTCCCCCAGAAAAATCATGCCAATAGTTTCAAAATCTGAGAACATCTCAAATTCACCAGTGATGATTAATTAAGCCCACTGTAGATTTTAAAGGTGGGTCAAGAAGCAGCTATGTTTTATTTTGGATATTATAAAAAATACAAAACAGTAACTTCATCAGTTAGTGTCTACATAGAGGGGCAGATTGCAGAATTATTTTCCACATGGGTAAAGCAAAGAAATGGGAGAGGTGATTACAGCATTCATCTGTTTGTTCTGAATAAGTTGCTAGTTAAACAGCTGAAGGATAATTACATCCCCAAGCCCTTCACTGGTTTAACGTCTTAAGAATTGTGTTCTTCACCATTAATTGTTAGTGTAAATAACTATAGATGAAACAGATGTCAAAAAATAAATGCGAGGGAAATAAGAGAAATGAGACAGCCTAAGAGGTGCACGGCCAC